CCTGCACGCCCCACACTGGGGATCAGGCCCGAAACCCGGGCATGTGCCCTGACCAGGAATCGAAACAACCATGACCTCCTGGTTCATAGGTCAACTCTCAAGCACGGAGCCATGTGGGCGGTGCTAGATGCAGTGTCCTTGCCTCACCTTGGACTCTGCGTCCAGGCTAAGACTCCAAAGGAAATCTTGGTGATTTCCATGCGATTCCTGTTAATGCTGGGCAGTGGGAAATTCCCGCTTAGGGCACAAAGGGCACTTGAGTGGGGCCACCAGCCAGAAGGTTCCTGCGGCTCCAGAAGCTGCCCCTCCCGTTCAAAATCACCCCTCAGAGACGGGCAGGAGAGTCTGCTTTTGCTGGTGTGGGAGAGGGAGGCAGGGGCTGTTATGAAGAGAGGGGCTGGGCGCTATGCTGGTGCAAGGGGGCCTTGCGAGTTCCAGGGGCCCCTCCTCGGAAGCCAGTCCTGCAGCTCAGGGCAGACACAGGAGGAGGAGGAGGAGGAGGAGGAGGAGGAGGAGGAGGGGGGACGTGGCCGTGGCAGACGGCAGGGGAGGACGGGACCGGGCTTGTCCGTGATGCATGCGCAAGACCCTGCAACGCTCAGCAGCACGTTGAGAAAGTATCATCACAAGAGGACATGAGCCCCGAGTGATCCGTCCGGTTCAGGAAACTGGATCAGACAGACGGGGCTGGGAGGACGCTCACACGCAGACTTTGATCCGGGGCCCACGCACCTTGCCGTGAGACCGGAGCACCCTGCTCGCGTGCCCACCTGCCCCTCACCCCGGCGCTGATGGCCCTGGGAGCTGAGTAGCAATGGACGGCAGGACACAGGGCCAGGGAGGAGCCCATCCGAAACCCAGCCTGGACGGCCTGATGGAAAAGCAGACCCCAGTGCCGTGCCTGCCTGCAGACCCTTTTTGGTCTCCAAGAAAGATCGACCCCGACCGTCTGTGATACAACAGCCCTAATTCCAACAAGGACACACCGCCCGGCTGGCGAGGCTCAGTGGTTGAGTGTCGCACTGTGAACCAGGAGGTCACAGTTGGTTCAATTCCAGGTCAGGGCACAAGCCCAGGTTGTGGGCTCCATCCCCAATAGGGGGCGCAGGAAGCAGCTGATCCATGATTCTCTCTCATCGTTGTTTCTTTCTCTCTCTTCCTCTCCCTTCCTCTCTGAAATCAATAAAAATCTATTTTTTTTAAAAAAAGGTTATGGCATGGATGTTCTACCTTCAGAAATCCGGACGTGGGAGCTGGCTGAAAAGGAAGTAGGGAGGCAACCAGATGAAGATAAATAAATCCCAGTACTTGAATGCTGGGTTGAGAGTGACTCAAAGATCATGCTGATCCCGGGAGAGAAATGCGAGTAGAAGACGCCGAGAAAAACCTCTTCACATCCCAGCAGATGCTTTCAGAACAGACCCAAACCCCAAGTTAAGATTTCAACCCTCAGAGCCCGGCTGGCGTGGCTCAGTGGTTGAGCATCAACCTATGAACCAGGAGGTCACAGTTCGAATCCCAGTCAGGGCACATGCCCGTGTTACGGGCTCCATCCCCAGTAGGGGGCGTGCAGGAGGCAGCGGATCCATGATTCTCTCTCATCATGGATGTTTCTCTCTCTCTGAAATCAATAAAAAATATATTAAAAAAAAAAAGATTTCAACCCTCCGAGCCTGTGGCTGGGTGAGCTCTGGGGCTCCCTGCAGGGCTGAGCCCAGGCTCGCTGGCCGGGTCCACGCTGTGGAAGAAGCAGAGGCGCGGACCAGCCCGGACTCCGGATGCGGAGAGCTCGGGAGCAGAGATACGTCCTCGGGAAGGAGTTTAAACACCCGAGTGTCCGACACTTACTTGTGGCCCAGCTCATGGGCGATGGTGAAGGCGAGGTTGAGGCCGTTGTCTTCGGCGAGCACACATTTCCTCTTGGCGCTGCACACGCCTCCTAAGTAAGCAATCCCTGCAGCGGAGACAGACACAGCCTTCAGAATCCTGGGCCCTGACCTCACCGGGAGGGTCCGGGCGGTCGCAAGGCGCGCAGGGCGGAGAGAGGGGCAGACGGGGTGGTGAGGGGCACAGGGCTGGGCCTGCCCTTCCAGAGCTCACAGAGGGATCGGTGGGCACCCGACACTTTGGCCTCAGCCTAGTAAGAATAGTATCCACAACATGTGCCTCTCACGCATTTTTTAAAAAAAATTTTAAAAGAATATTTTTATTGATTTCAGAGAGGAAGGGAGAGGGAGAGAGGAAGGGAGAGGGAGAGAGAGAGAGAGAGAGAGAAAGGAACATCAATGATGAGAGAGAATCAGGGATCAGCTGCCTCCTGCACACCCCCTACTGGGGATTGAGCCTGCAACCCGGGCATGTGCCCTGACTGGGAATCGAACCGTGACCTCCTGGTTCCTAGGTTGATGTCCAACCACTGAGCCACGCCGGCCGGGTAACATCCTCTTTGTGGAATCTCAATTTCACTCTGGGGTGGACCTGAGCCACTCCCTCCTGCCGGTCCCTCCAACAGCCCCCGAGCTGCCCGCTCTGCACGGAGATGCGCTGGGACCCGGGGCACCCCGAGCGGGCAGCACACCGGGTGACTACTTCCATTCAGAAACCAGCAGCAGCTGGGCCAAGGGGGAGAGCGTTCCGATGAAAGGGACAAAGAACGGTTTCTGGCCTGCAATGCTGGTTTGCTCATGGACATCCCAACCCAGCCGCGCAGACGACTGACCTCCAGCAAGGACGCCGTCCGGCTCCTCAGGGCCTTCGAGGCCATCTCTCTGGTTTAATTTTTAAAAAAATTTTTTTTGTGTGTGGCTTGTTGCGAAGTGGCCAGCAGCGAGTCAGAGGCACACTCCCACACAGCCCTCCTGGTATGCACGTGCAGTGCCCACACACATGCACATGCATGCACACACATGCACACATGGGTGCACACACACACACACACACACACACACTCATGTGCACTTAAAGCCACACCCAGCAGCACCATCCCAGGCCCAGGCCAGGCCAGGCCTCCGGGGCCAATAAATTAATTACAAACAATCCGACGAGCACGCCCGGGAGCAGCCGTCTGGCGAGGGGTAAGGGCGGCGGCCAAGGCCAGCTGTGCGGAGCCTGCCGTCCCGGGGCGTCTACTGCCCCAGCAGACTCAACGCCACACGGACACGTCCCCAGACGCAGGCGCGCTCTGGCCGGAGCAGGCGGTCCCCATCCCCACTCTGATGAGGTAACGCACAGGCTGGGGAGTCGGCTCAGCACAGGGCCTTCCAGTAATTGCCTTTTAATCTGTCCAAGGCGCAGATGGTTCTGCAAAGCTAGAAACAAAGGCTCGGTTTATTTACAAAAAAAAAAAAAGTTCTCACACGAGGGTGGGGGAAGGTCCAGGGCTATTTTTTTTCAATTGACTTCTAAATAGAGAGGGATAAGGAGAGAGAGAAACATCAATGATGAGAGAGAATCATGCATCGGCTGCCTCCTGCACGCCCCCTACTGGGGATCGAGCCTGCAACCCGGGCATGTGCCCTGACCACGAATGGAACCGTGACCGCTTGGTGCATAGGACACGGCTCAATCCACTGAGCCTCACAGGCCGGGCAAGGTCCAGTGCTTTTTATTTTTTTTATTTGTATTGATTTCAGAGAGAGGAAGGGAGAAGATACAGATACAAACATCAATGATGAGAGAGAATCATTGATCAGCTGCCCCCTGCACACCCCACATTGGGGATCAAGCCTGCAACCTGGACATGTGCCCTTGACTGGAATCAAACCTGAGACCCTTCAGTCAGCAGGCTGACACTCTATCCATTGAGCCAAACCGGCCAGGGCTGTCCAGTGCTTTTTGACCATTCACTGCGACCATGAGCAACCTGGTCCTCGAGCCGAGCGAGGGAAAGAGAAAGAAAAGGACCCGGACACACCCGAGTGCATTGACGAGCGACGGTGCGCAAGTGTGTGGAACTCCCACCACCACGCGGGGGGCGGGCGGGGGGGAGGATCCCAGGTTGCGGTATAAAAAAGGGCTGCAGGGACTAAATGGGCAGGAAACCATGAGCTTCGGCGGGAAGCAAAGGCCACCGCTCTTCCACGTTTCCTGGGAGGAGACAGCCGTCCAGAGGGAGGGTGAGCTGGCAGCTCGCAGAGACCCCATCGCCTCCGGCTGCAAAGGCACCAACCGGCAAACACCCACCCAATCCCCACATCGGAGCTCGTCCACAAAAGAGGAAAACTCGGCCCGGCCGGCGTGTTTCTCCAACACTCACGCTCCTCCGGGCGAACCCCGGGCCTCCCTCACCAAAGTGCTGATAAACGAAGACAATGAATAATCTTCTCAGACTTAGAAGATTCCCCTAAACCTCGATGTGTTTATACAGAGACGTGGGTGGGATAGAGGAGAGGTTCCCTGTGGTCAAGTCCAAATGCTCTTAATCCTAAAGATAAAAAGACTCAAGGGATAGAGGCAATAACAGTCACAGCAGTTACCTCCAAGATATGGTGAAGTCATTACAGCTCCTTTTAATTGTCTCCTTCTTTCTGTGTGTGGCTTAAACCTAATAGAACGAATATGTACTTGCTATGGAGATTAAAGCTATTGGTTATATTTCATTTATCCCAGCAGACATGGAACAGAGGCAGAGGAGGTACACACACACACAAGAGTCCTCCAGGCCCGGCCGGTGTGGCTCAGTGGTTGAGTGTCGACCTCTGAACCAGGAGGTCACGGTTCGATTCCTGGTCAGGGCACATGCCCGGGTTGTGGACTCGATCCCCAGTTGGGGGTGTGCAGGAGGCAGCCGATCCATGGTTCTCTCTCACTACTGGTATTTCTATCTCTTCCAACTCTCCCTTCCTCTCTGAAATCAATAAAAAAAAAGTGTATATATTTTTAAAGTCCCCTAGATTTTGATTCTGATAGGAAGTTCACGGTCAACACACAACTGAGTGTGTGCTTCTCTCCCAGCTCCATCTCTCCGACATCCTGGGCAAAACACATATTTTAAACGGGAGATGCTGAGGACAGACGAGAAGGGCTGCGGCGAGTTTCTCTGACGCCGGAGAAGTCCATGTAATTCATCCCGACAGCGGCCGCGTCCCGGAGCCGCCCGGCCTGTCCCCCCGCCGTGTCATCTCAGGGCAGACACTCTCCCTCCGCCTCCCGCTTCCGCTTCTGGGAGGAGCACGGCTTCGGTGAGGAAACGGGGGGCAAGGAGGCTTCATTGTTTTCTTTTTCAGGAGAAAACTGCACGGTGTCAGCACATAATTCTCACAGCCCTGCCAGGGGACTGCGGATTCCAGAAGTAAACAACAGCGGACAGTGTAAACTCTGTCCATCCGGCAAACAGTCCGGGTAAACAGTCCCAGCTGCTGGCCCGGCTGCCCACGTCTCGGACCATCCTGGGCTCCCACCGACCGCTCACGGTACCAGCACCATCCTGGCTGTCACTGGGATGCCATGTGCCAATGACAAGGAAGAAATTGACGTCTATTCACTGGCAACTGCGGTGGTTAGGATCAAGTCCTGAGTGCAGGCTCATTCCCAAGTCCTTGTGCTCTAAGTGGATGGAGGTGTGATTTAAATTTGTGAACCAGCCCAGCAGGCGTGGCTCAGGAACCAGGAGGTCATGGTTCGATACCCAGTCAGGGCACATGCCCAGTCAGGGCACATGCCTGGGTTCAATCCCCAGTAGGGGGCATGCAGGAGGCAGCTGATCCGTGATTCTCATCATTGATGTTTCTCTCTCCCTCTCCCTTCCTCTCAAAAATAAAAAAGTTAAAAAAATAAAAATAATACATTTGTGAACCACATTTAAAAGCAAATAGCGTGCCCTGGCCAGTGTGGCTCAGTTGGTTGAGCGTCATCCCGTGCACCTAAAGGTCACTGGTTCGATTCCCAGTTGGGGCACATACCTGGGTTGTGGGTGCATCCCCAGTCAGGATGCCTATGGACCACATGAGCTGTGTCTATAATTTGCCTTGACTCTATTCCAAGGCCCTGTGCAATGGAATGCTCTAGAAAGTTGCCTGGGACGACCTTGACATACGGCTTCACTCCCTCTCACGCTAACAGCTCTATTTCCACAGGAAGCATAAAATACAAGGCCGTGCGCAGAAATGTGTGCCAAGTGAGCAGAGAAAAAAGAACCGCGCTCTCAGAATGATTAAGAAACCACACTTCTTGCGAATGCTTGGCGGAGCGAAGCCACCCTCTTGGGGATGAAAGGCGGAATTTAAAAGACCCAGGCTGAGGGTCGAGGGCAGGCCCAAGGGGATTTCGATCTGTGCTTTGTTCTAGGCCCCTCGAGGGTGGGCCGGTTCTTGGGCTGCGAGTGGGAGTGGGGCAGGGGTGGGAGGAGGGCAGGCCAGGCCTGAGGGCGGCTCTGGGCACCAGCTCCTGAGCAAAAGTCCATAAGCACTCCCCTGGCAAGGACACGCGAACCCCTCAATAAAGAAGTGGTCCCCACACCCAACTCAGGAAGCTGGCTGTCATGTGGATGCCGACTCAGCATCTGAGCTCAAGTCAACCTGCCCCGAGAAGCCCTCCCTCCCATGCCCTGAGGAGGCCTGGGCGGGGCTCCGTGCTGCTGACAGGATGCAAGAATAAGGACATTGCACCCCGACGGGTGTGGCTCAGTGGTTGTGCGTCGACCTAGAAACCAGGAGGTTGAAGTTTGATTCCCGTTCATGGCACGTTCGATCCTCACTGTGGGGCGTGCAGGAGGCAGCCGATGCATGATTCTTTCTCATCATTGACGTTTCTCTCTCCCTCCCTCTCCCTTCCTCTCCGCAATCAATAAAAATATACATTTTTTAAAAAGGGTGTTGAATGCCCAAGAGAACGAGAATGGTACTTATTTCATCGGACCCGACTCAGAAGCCACTGTTTGCCACGCAGACGTGGTGCCATTCTTGGGGACATAAACCGCGGCGTATTTCTCCTGGGCCAGCCGGGGCCGAGGTGGGC